AAACGTTGAGAGACATTTTACAAGAAACTGTTCTACTTTAGTGGAAAGGTTTCCTGCCAAAGATGTGGGAAAAGCGGCTATAGCTGAGCTAAAGCGTAAAGCAGAGCAAAGTAAGTCTGTGTTTTCATTTATAATCTATTTTTTCAGCCTATACTAGTACATTAACACACACTGAGGCATATTTACAGCAATTAAATAGACATAAAATGTTGTGGCTCCCAAGCTGGTTTGATTTTTGTTGAATAGACAAACATTCTTCATAACAATCTTCTTAACATTTGGGTTGCTGACCCCTGCTATAAGGTCACAGTGTCACTAACACAGACGCTCATGCAGCCGCAAGCTCTCCTAGTCTGTCAAGAATCGCAACCACACGAAACAACAGGAAATCACTTTGGACGGAATTTTTCTCGGCCTGCTTGGTGAGCATTAAAATGTCTCAAGCAACGGTTGCTAACGCTTCAGTACCACCGAAGCTCAGACCTTTTCATAACTTCCTCTTAAAACATTTCCTGCACTAATAAGCCCCTTCAGATGTCCCGCATGACAGCATTTGACTGACTTTTTCTACACAGTGTCCTCAGTTTACCCCATCCAAATCTTTTAAATGAGTTCCATAAACTGCATCTCTTAAAAGTAGGGGGGTATGACACACGGAAGGCACAGAAATGACTAGCTGATGAATGGGGCAATGCAATTATATTTATCGGGCCAATATTGAAATTACAGCAACCGATAATTTACTGCGATATTTTTAACTCATGCATGCACGACTCAAGACATGACTCATGTGTAGTCATTTGTGCTGGACATTTCTGTTCTGTACAACAGGCCAGGATTCAGCCACTGCTGGACATTACTTTCACCAAGCATAGGAAGTGAAGATCTGCTAAATAATGTAAAATGTTTTTATGGAGTAATTAATTATCATGTCTGATTTAGCTGTATCATATAAAAAGAATCAAAAATACATCTTTACCCTAATTTAACCTAACACTGCACTTCAAAAACAGTACTGCACAAAGCCATTAACTACAAGGTATTCATATTCAGCACCAAAAATAAAGCAGAAAGCGACTACGTTCTCAGAAATAAAGGTGCTAAACTGTCACTGGGGCAGTCCCCCTCTAGTCACTGGGGTGGTTCCCTCGAGGGTACATCTCAGTACCTTTAGTCAGGGAACATAACTGAACCATAATCCATTGAAATTATATTTTCTAAGCTGTACTGACTCCACACACCCCGTCTCCACAGGTTATTTTATTGATCTGTTTTAAAACATTCGGTTATGAAAAGGTACAAATATGTACTTTTAACCTGGGAAAAACTTATTTAAGGTACACAGTTGGAACCTAAAACCACTGTTGTGCCTTTAAGGGTATATTTACATTGTTTGTACCTTGATGAACGAAAAAAGTACCTGCACAGAACCTTTAGTTCTAACAGTGAAATGTGAACATTTATTGGTAGCAGTATTGGCTGCAACAAGACACTAATTATCAATTATATCAACCCAGAAATTCTGCATCATTCTACTTAAAAGCACACCAAAAGTGATTATCTTGGTTGCGCTAAATTAAAATTTTTGACTTAATGAGTTGGAGAAACCTTTCACAACTCATCCAGCCTCTCTTTTATTGGGTTAATCTTTAAGGAAGGTGTTATTTCTGCTTCCTCCCGGCTCGCGGCTCTACCTCTATTCTAATTTGACAGGAGCTCCAGTGTCAGTCAGGCTGACGTGTCTCCAAATCTGAGACTAAATCAGCCTGGCACACCAGAGACGGTGGCTGGGGTGTCGTTTCAGCTAAAAATATTGTTAATGTCACATCATGATGTATTTTTATCACACTATGACTGCTCTATTTTCCTTTTAAAAGGCTGTTGTGAATATCTTACTCTGGCCTGGTTTTCTGGGTCACCTGGAAGAGAGAAAACTTTAATGATTAGCTGATACATGTTAGATGCTTCCTAGCTTCATCTGTTTGGAACATGTAGCTACAGTACACCATTTAGGTTGTTTTGGTTAGGACTTGAATAAAATGACTGTAATTTAGTTCTGGGGGAAAGAAAACATGCATTTAATTATTTATCATAGCAGCTAGAATTCACAATGAACTTGCACGGATTATAATCTGAGCCACATTTGAAGCTGCTCAGATTTATGACCATCTGACAACAGCTAAGTTCTATATTAATATGAAACGTAAGTGACTAAAAACCACTGTGCTATGAATGGACTTTTATGCTGTTCGTATGGACCAACAAGTGCAGTTTTGTTTAAACTGACGGCCTGACAACTTAGCTAACAGCTAACAGCTAAGAAAAAAAGGCAGGCTGAACAAACTAAAAGGCTAACAGGCTAAACTGCTCCTCCATTAGCATTCAGTGTTAGGCTTTTAATTGAAGTATTATGATTTACTGTTGAATAAAAAGTATAGAATATGTGTTTTTGGTAGATCTACTCCAGTAACTTAAACCCAGTGTGGGAAAACAATGGGTGGCACCATTAGCTTGATGCTAACACAAAGGAAATTGCCTTTTGGTGCTAGTGTGATTTAGCATTATCATTGTTGTGGTAATTTGGTGAGCAAAAAAAAGTATAATGTTTTTGCATTAAGCACAGCTATACTAAGGTGTCTTTATTATTATATGATGTTATATGATGCTTATGAAGTGATTGCAATATACAATGATAAGTTATATGACAAAGTTCTTCTGCTCCTTCAGCAGTTCGTAGTTGCTTGATGTGCCTCTGGGGGTACGTGTGACCCCAGTTTGGGAACTGCTCTATCCCGGCTACATATCTTGTGGAAAATGCTTATTGTGATTATTTTTCATATTAACTTAATCCTCCTATGACTTTTGCATTCAATTGGACTCTATTCAATGTTTAACATCTCTAAATAAATGACTGACATCATTGTTTTGATTCATATTCAGTGACTTTTCCTAATTAATTGGAAACGACTGGGTAAATATAAAATTTACATAATGATATGTTTTCAATCTCCTGTACATATTGGTCAATTTCTTTGAGGTCAGTTTGAGCCCAGGTGGTTTTAACGGTATAAAACATAAGAAATATCAAAATTTTACATACATTTGTTTTGGGTGTTTTAAATGATATCGAGGTCACTAACATGCCATTTTAAAATCTCCAAAAACTTCCCTCTGCTTTAGGGTCCTAACCAAACATACCTGTAGTAGTGCAAGAACCACTGATATACTGGGCTCAAATTGACTCCAAAGCTAAAAGCTTCATTGAAGATGACATGGAGGTTAAATTGTTTAAAATGAAAATGTTGTTAATTGATATGTTATATGTCTTTTAAAACAGTACTTGAGGTCATGCATTACAGTGATTTAACCACAGGGGCTTTAGGCACTTCGCTTCACATTGTACCTAATAACACCACCCATGATAAAATCACAGTAATGTGCGGCCTTTCGCGACTTGAACACTTTAAAGGGGAATTCAACTGTTTTTTCAACATTTTTGTATAACTAGTGGCTTGATGTGAAATTATGCATTGAGTGCATTGAAAAGAAACTTACCAACTAAGATTTATTTACAATGGTGAAGATAGGAACCAAGGGTTGTGATGCAAGTATAGCAATTTTATTTCATCATCAACATCATCATCATCATCGTTAACCGCTTAGTCCAGCTAGGGTCGCGGTAGCAGTTGGGAGAGCAGAGAATCCCAGATGACCCTGTACCCCGCAACTTCCTCCAGCTCATTCCCGGGGACCCCAAGCCGCTCCCAGGCCAACCTGGAGATATAATCCCTCCAGCGCGTCCTAGGACGACCCCGGGGTCTTGTCCCGGTAGGCCATGTCTGGTACACCCCCACCGGGAGGCGTCCAGGGGGCATCTGGATCAGATGCCCGAACCACCTCAGCTGGCTCCTCTCAATGCGAAGGAGTAGCGGCTCTACTCTGAGCTCCTCCCGGATGGCCGAGCTCCTCACCCTATCAAATAGAGTGTAGCCCGCCACCCTGCGAAGAAAGCTCATTTCCGCCGCTTGTATTCACGATCTCATTCTTTCGGTCATTACCCATAGCTCATGATCATAAGTGAGGGTTGGGATGTAGACCGACCGGTACAGCGACCGCATTACTGCTGCCGCCTGTCCCAGCCTGTGGTCGATCTCACGATCCTTATTCCACGTACCAAGAGCCAGTTTCTGCCGCAGGGGCCTAGGCCACCAGGGCCCCCCCCGCAATCTCCCACTGCCTATACGGCACTGCACCGCTCCCCCATGCTGGACCTTGCGGGTGGTGGGCCCACATGGTCCCCCCACGTTGCCTCTTTGGGCTGAGCCCGGCCGGGTTACGCGGGCTGCCCAGCCACCAGGCGCTCGCCGGGGGACGTTACCCCCAGGCCTGGCTCCAGGGGTAGGTCCCGGTGACCCTCTCCCGGGCAGGGTACACGCTTGTCTGTGTCCATTTTTCATAGAGGATCCTCTATCCTCCTATGAATTTTATTTACTATCCAAAATGTCTAGTGAATGTACATGTCCTCTGAGTAATATTTGTAATGATTTGTAATGTTGATTATGGTAAAATACTGGTAAATCTCTAAAAATAGATTTTTTCTGGGGACTATTTTGCCTTACAACACCTTGCAGGTACCTCTCCACTATGAATGAATAAAAAAAAATTTGTTTTAGGCCAAAACCTGATCTCAAAACTATCTTAAGCATCAGACAGCATATTCATATCTAATTTTATGTAATAATTTTCTGTGAGGTAGTTTATAGAGGCATTAAACGCTATAGATTTCTGGTTCCTATCACCACCATTGTGTACAGTTCTGACAGCATGAATACTGCGTTTCATATCAAACCTAAATGACTTTCTTTACATCGTAAATATTGAATTTCACTGTATTTCACAGAAATGTATCTAATGCTCTCACCTGTCTTTCTATACTTGTTGCAGCTGTAAGGGATTCTGTTCATCCTGACCTCTCAGCAAGTGCCCAGAGGATCCATAGCATGACCAACTTCAGTTTCTCCAGCTCCTCCAACCACAGCTCGGCCTATGGGAGCCCCCGCAGGCCAGTCACAGTCTTTAGCGTGCTCACCTTCACCCTGCTGGCCATGCTGGTGGTGGCCACGTTCGTGTGGAACATGCTGGTTCTGGTCACCATCCTTCGGGTCCGCACTTTCCACCGCGTCCCACACAACCTGGTGGCCTCAATGGCCATTTCGGACGTGATGGTGGCCGCTCTGGTCATGCCGCTAAGCCTTGTCCATGAACTGAACGGCCGACGATGGAAGCTGGGCAGGGTCCTGTGCCACGTTTGGATCTCCTTCGACGTTCTATGCTGCACGGCCAGCATCTGGAACGTGACAGCCATCGCGCTGGACCGCTATTGGTCCATCACCCGGCACCTGGAGTATACACTGAAGGCCCGGAAAAAGATCTCCAACGTAATGATCGGATTAACATGGCTGCTCTCTTCGGTCATCTCCTTGTCTCCTCTGTTTGGCTGGGGTGAGACGTACTCGGAGGAGGGCATGGAGTGCCAGGTGAGCCAGGAGCCGTCCTACACCATCTTCTCCACCTTCGGGGCCTTCTACCTGCCACTCTGCGTGGTGCTCTTCGTCTACTGGAAGATTTATAAAGCAGCCAAGTTTCGGATCGGGTCCAAGAAGACCAACACCATCACACCAGTGGCTGAAGCTGTCGAGGTATGCAATGTTTTAGTTTAATCCCTGCAACCTACAAGCTTAATATTCAAATAGTCCAATACTGATTATGAAACTTTGAGTATCGACTGTTTTTAATGGAAACAGAGGCCTGAAGTCATGGTCAGACCAGACTGTTGTCTTGCTATTTTTTTTTGCCAGGGTGGAGCATATGGTATTTTTAGAGAATGTAAGGTTCTGTGAACAGCTAACATTGACTAGTGAACTAGTTTACAGTTTCACCACCACTCGTGTACAATTCTGATTTCAAACCTGAATGACATTCTTTACTAACATTGGCTAGTGAACTGTGGGCAAAAGCGACATTATGTTTACCAAGGATCTACTCTGTTAAGTCAACAAATTTAAATATGGCCTTTTCTATACATTTTATTGCACAATTTCTGTTTATTTGCAGTGCAACATTTTGTAAAACATATCAAATGTGCCATAATATTTTATTTTTTCCCCAATATGTTAAATTCAGCAAATAAACTGTAGTTGTGCATTAAAAGTGTGTTCTCTTTAGAGGATGTGTCAATTTATTTTCACTTGGAAAATCAACAAAACATGGAATTTGACCAGGGGTGCCTGATTGACGATCTATGAATAGGATTCATAGGATTCTGCTAATTTTCCAAGCTATACATTTTGAAAATTGCCACAATCCCAGAAATAATGAAAGTACGTCACCTGAAGAACATAATAGTTTTAAATAGAATGGAAACTTTGGTCAGTTGGACTGGTCAATTTTAAAAAAAGGCCTTCTGATATTTTTAAGGCATTTTAGCATTCGGCGCTCAGAAGTCTCAAAACAATGTATTCTTTAAGAGGAATTTCCACAGATATATTTTGATTTCTGCATAGTTCAGTCATTGAGATGTAAACAAAGTCATTAAGAGTGATTTGTTCTGAGATAGTTTATTGTAGAGAAACTTGCAGACTTTCTGTTCAGTGGTGGTGAGAGGAACCAGGGGTCAGGACGTCTACGGCACAAATATAGCCATTTTATTTACTACAGAGTTTTTATATGAGACATTGATAAGGGTCAAACAGTGCTAAATCTGAACAAAAAAGCATAAAAGAGTATTTTTGGGGGACTGTTTTGCAGTGGTGGACAGTAACTAAGTAAATGTAATTCGTTACTGTACTTAAGTAGTTTTTTCGTGTATCTGTACTTTACTGAAGTTTTTCCATTTTGGGTGACTTTTTGCTTTCACTCCACTACATTTCAAAGTAAATATCACACTTTTTACTCCGCTACATTATGAGAAATCTGTCGCTCCTTTTGGCTTGTGTGTGTATAAAAACGTAACATGTCAAAACAAAAGAAGCGCAAAGCAAAAACACCAATCAGGGCACAGCGCTCACTTTGTTTTGAGCTGTTGGTCATATCGACCCAGTGCAGCACACGGTTCAACATCAGTGCAGCAGCGTAAAATTTTGGGAGGGTCTATTCAACATAAATGATGAACTAACCTAACTTTGTGTAAACAGACCACAATATAGAAATATGTACACATATGCAGTTGTGACTGACGTGTCTTTTTTTCTGAATTTACACAAACATTATTTCATTTTATAGTAAATTAGTTTTGCTAGTTTATGTTTATGAACAGAGACCTACAGATGCAGTTTAGTAAAGGAAACTCATTTGTGAATCTGAGTTTAAAGTTTTTATTAAACTTAATCTTGTAACTAAGTTCAAATAAATCTTAAACTGAAACTTCGCTTGTTTGTAAAAAGTGATTTCAGAGCCACTCAGTTCTACCTGATGGGAACTGTTTGCCTTCAGTGTTTTGTGCTTATGATAATTTTAATAGACATCAGTGTCACATCAGCGTTTACCAAGAGAGACACTGGAGTATTTTCACCTAAACTGAGTTAATGAAGCGAGTCTTGTTACAAAAACAGTAATAGGACATCAGAGTCATAATTAATCTTTTAGTACTTTTACTTTCGATACTTAAGTACATTTGAAGGCAAATACTTTTGTACTTTTACTCAAGTGGAGGTCTAAAGGGAGGAACTTCTACTTTTACTGGAGTAACATTTTACCTTGGGTGTCTCTACTTTAACTCAAGTACATGATTTGTGTACTTCGTCCACCACTGCTGTTTTGCTGCACAGCACCTAGTATGTAGCTCTCCACCATAATTGTGTGTTAAAAATATGCTTTTAGGGCAAAACCTTATGTAAGAACTGTTGTAAAATAATGTTTAAGGCATCAGTCAGTGTACTTATGAACATTTAATGTACAAACTTTCTGTGATGTAGCTTTTAGAGGCATTCAACTCTTCAAATGTCTGGTTTCTATCACCACCACTGTAAACAACTGAGATCTTACTGGTGGAAATGTGTGACTTTTTTGCATTTGAGGCCTAAATATCGAGCCGGACCTTCTGTGACCATCTGTGTGTGTGACGTAAAACTACAAAGAATTCCACCCAACACCTCAGACTTTTAAAATGACTATTTCAGGTTAGACAGAGTGACTCACAGTAGCACATGCACACCATATTTCAGTGTGTTTCCTTTTTCTCCTGACTCAGTAATTCTGCTTCGCTCAATTTTAGCGAAAACTTATGTATGGTGAGAAAAAGAAAATGTCTGTAATTCACATGCAGATGTAGATGTAGATAATCATGAACTGTCAACCACAACTTTCAAGTTAGTCATGGACAAAAACATTTGTCTCTGTCTTGACATTTCCAGAAAGCCACCGAACCCTTCAAACAAGCCTTTAGTAGATCTGTAGGCAGCAAAAACTATGTTGAATCTTGCATTGCCAATCAGATTCTCTCATTTTGTACTGTTCTTTTCCAATAGGGAATTGTTTCAGTTAATATAATTAGACATCATCTCAGCAACCATTTAAGTTAAACCTTGTGTTAAAATGAATATGCTTTTAGTAGGTCACGTTGTCCCTAAGGGCTCCATTAAGTTGAACAGCAGGTGGTCAGTTCCTGAACGTGTCCAGGCACTTTAGTTGGACGTAACCTTGACATGCAGACCGCTGAGTCTCAAAAGTGCTGGAAGGCTATAAAGGCTAAAAGGCTTTTTTTGTTTCCTCTGTGGACTAAAGGACTCTCGACTGGATCACAAGGCTTCTGGTCTTATTCAGATCTTATGCTATGGCAGACAATGAAACGTTTATCCTCTGTATGTATGTATGATGTAACTTTATATATACATATATATATATATATATATATATATATATATATACACACACGCACACACACACACACACACACACACACATATATATATATATGTATTTTTTTTATAAATGTGTGTGTGTGCACATATATGTAATATAGTATGTAATATATTATTACATAATAAGCCTTATTATTCAGTTACTACAGGGACTTCAGTGCAAACTGGCTGAGCTATTCTTGACCTCTAGAAGTGTGTAATAAAACTATGCGCCTGCCAGTGGGCCCTGACCACTTAAGGGGTTAACTATTTCCAAACCTCCCCAGTTGCTAGTAGCTATCAACCAATATCTGATTTAGCTGAACAGTCCTTCATTAAAATAAATAAGCTGTGCTGGTTATGGAATTAAGCCAATCTTGATGGAGTAAATATCAAATACAAATAGAGTAGTAAAATCACAATAGAATAATTGTTGTATTTATAATTGTTAAAATAATTGTACTTTACTTTTAATGTAAGTCAATGGAACCAGGCTTTTGGTCCATTCATTGTGAAATTTACACACAGTGCAAAGGGCAACAGATACTTTCAAACACTGTCAAAAACCGAAAACCGACAAAAATGGAGATATAAGGTTTTCTTCCGACAACAGCGATATATATAATCATACTTTTCATTAAAACACAAAACAGTTTATTTAATTGCAGAAAAGTGTTTTAACTGATTTTCACACTTTTGGACAAATTTATTTCAAAACAACAGGACCAAACTGCTCACCATGTGGGCTTGAGGGACAGGGATGACAGGGATGACTAAAACGGCATATATATATATATATATATATATATATATATATATATATATATATATTATATATATATACAACATTTATTTTTTTCAAACCAAAACCAAGCCAAATACAATTCTTGTATATAAAGGTCTGTGTAATGTAGGTGTCGAGGCAGGTAGCAAATGTGAAGTAGCTTTACTGGGGGCATTCCAGTACTCATTGTCCATTAAACAGGCAGGGGTCAACACACAGGCAGGCAGAGAAAAGATTCATGTTCAAAAAAACGAGAAAAAAAGAAAAAAATCAAAGGAACAAAACAAAGAAAACACAGCTTCGTACACTTGGTATATGAAGGAGTCTTAACGAGTTCACGTTGCAATATATATATGGGACATTATTTCATATAGGTACTTACATAGATGTAATACATATGGGACATATTAATATTACATACTGGTACTTACATATATGTAATGCATATGAAAGATATACACATATATAACAAAACATGTTATTTGATTAAGGGTTTTCAAACTTTAATATATGACTGTATGTCCTGTGTTTATGCTTTCTGGTGTAGGTGAAGGAGGCGTCCCGGCAGCAGCCTCAGATGGCGTTTACGGTGCGGCACGCCACAGTGACGTTCCAGACGGACGGAGAGACGTGGCGGGAGCAAAAGGAGCGGCGGGCAGCGCTGATGGTGGGAATCCTCATCGGAGTCTTCGTCCTCTGCTGGATCCCTTTCTTCCTGACCGAGCTGGTCACCCCGCTCTTCTCCTGCCACGTCCCACCCGTGTGGAAGAGCGTTTTCCTCTGGCTCGGCTACTCCAACTCCTTCTTCAACCCGCTCATCTACACGGCCTTCAACAAAAACTACAACAACGCCTTCAAAAACCTCTTCTCCAGACAGCGCTGACAGCAGGCAGCGGCAAAAAAGAGGCTTTCTGAACTTCTGAAGTCCTGATCCCATCCGAAACTGGCATCACAGCTAATTTAAGGCCTATTTTAAAGGACCCGTATCGTGGAAAACAGAGTATCCTTCACTTTCTTTTTAAATAAAAGTTTTTGATGTGGTATGTAAACACTGTGAAAGTTTTAAAAACGTACTGTTCACTCCACGGTCCATATATGAAATCTAGGCTGTTCTGAATTCATTGTTTTGTGATGTCATAAAAGCACCACATTTACATATGGCCACCCTTTCAGCCTACAGCAGTTTAGCCTGCCTATGTCCACATTATGGAATGGAAAATATCAGCCTGGACTGCTTTTTGAATGAGGCACAATCCAAAGTAGCCAATCAGAACCAACATCATTTACATATAGCAGTCTTAAAGGCACAGTAACAACAGCTTATTTAATTCTGAGAGACAAAGATGAATGGAGAACGATTATATCCAAAGGAATTACAACTATTTTTGGGAGATAAAATCACACAAACAGCATAACTGGGGCTCAGGGTAGACAATATACGCAACAAATTGAAGGAGACAGGCCCTTTAATAGATTAGTACCATCTGTGTTAAGCCTGATCACACTGGTGCTTTTTTAAGGCAGTTTTACTCCACTGCACTTAAAAAAGACCTGTTGAGGTAGTTTGACAAACAATTTGAAAATACCTGAACTGTAATTTATGTAGAGGCGACAAAAAGTCATATACGCTGACTCTAGTCTGTTAGATTCAATGGAAATGTGTGTAATAATAAAAGTTCATACAGCAATTTATTTTCAAACAACAAGTACCAGGTTGTGCTCTATTTTATGCTGTTTTTGTTGAGCTGACTTAAACAGACATTGTCCACACTTTGCAACACTGAGGCACTTTTTCAGAAGTCAACAAAGTAGTCTAAATACAGTCGTATGCAAATGTGTGGGCGCCTCTGGTCTAATTGATGTCTTGTTGATTTTCTAAGTAGAATAAGTTAAACAGTTTGTCTACAGAGAACATATGTCTGCAGATTTTAAAGCACAAGTTTATTTACTTAATTAAACAAATTGGGAAAAATAAACATAAAAGCTGCGTTCCAAAGCTGCGTCACAGAAGGCCGTTCCAAAGTGAAGGACCCTTCATATGCAGCCTAGAAATGCAGCCTACGTTCGGAGTGATTTCAATGACACATTAGATGTATCCGTCCAGGTCTTTGGTTACCCACAGTTCTCTGCGCACAAATGATGCGAAAGAAAAAAACAGCACCACGAAAATGTTACCTTTACCTTATAAAGTATGAAATGATTGATTGATTAAAGCATTTGTCCATATATCGTATATCATCCATATATTTTATTTAGAAGTGTTTGTATTTATGTAGTTTATCGCACATCGTACATCATACGTACATAAGAACATCTCCTCCGTTTCCGCGAAGAAATGAAAAAGCAACAAATTGAATGCAACTAGTTCCCTCACAAGATTCGTGCCACAAAGAGGCGGGACCTTACCGATGACATCACCACGCAGCCTCGCTAGGACTGTTCCATTTTTGTGACCAGTAGGCTGCTAAGGAGGAGTCTTCATAGGACAGTCCTACCGAGAACCCACCCTACCTCAGCTGCAGCCTGGGCTTTGGAAGGCAGCTAAAATGTGGCCTGTGCAAAAGTTCTAGGACATTTTATATTTTATGTTTTTTTTTTCCAATAGGTTAAACCCTGCAATTAAATAGTAATTGTGCACTAAAATGCTATATTTTAATATGTTCTCTGTAGAGAATGTGTTTACTTTTTTTCACTTCAAAAATCAACGTCATTTGACCGTAGGTATGTCACAAAGTCAAGCCTGCAGCCAAGTTAAGAAAAACCTTGCTAGCACTGGCATATAAAGGTAGAGACGCTCAGTGGAGAAAAGTCTAGCAGACTGTATCAACACGTCAGAGTACACAGGCCTAAGAAATGCAAATTACGCTACATACATCATCTAAACCACTTATCCTTCTGGGTCGCTGGAGCCTATCCCAGCTGTCATTGGGCGGAAGGCAGGATACACCCTGGACAGGTCGCCAGTCCATCGCAGGGCAGACAGACAGACATATACGTACATTCACACATAGGGGCAATTTAGCATGTCCAATTGGCCTGACTGCATGTCTTTGGACTGTGGGAGGAAACCCACGCAGACACAGGGAGAACAGGCAAACTCCACACAGAAATGACCCTGGTCACCCAGCCGGGAATCGAACCCAGGCCATTCTCGCTGTGAGGCGACAGCGCTACCCACTGCGCCAACAGTGCATAACAGGGCATCTTGACATTGTGATATCACAATACAAAACTGTGACAGTTTGCATCGTGATGTGACAGTGCATCATGGAGAGTGTACATTCTGTTAAATATGTCATATGTAACTGTAACCCCTCTGTATAGGTCAGTGATCACTTTGTGCGAGTAACGATTCTTCACCAAAGCTTTGGGTTCAGGCGTAGTGCCGAGTTTATTAGCTGACAAACACAAGAACCAAACACTGGGGTCATTAAAAGACACAGACTACAGCTCTCAGCTCCGTCTCGCCATACACATAACACAGGCACCATAAAAAGAGTGATCGTATAGATTAGATACCATAAAAATAAGTAATTATATCAGTTTGTTTTGATTTGGTATGATCTACTATGCAGCTGACTGACAAGAACCCATTTTCTGTTGTGTTACTATGGCATAAATAATAGACTGTTACATTCAGAAACAACGATTACTAAAACAACAGAAATACATAGAAAGATATTAATAAAGTAAGAATAATGAAATAAACAAACCTGACAAACACAAGAACAAAATGTTGGGGTCATTAAAAGGCACAGACTACAGCTCTCAGCTCCTATACAACAAAATGTAAACCACAGTAAAACAGTTTGTTTACCGTTAAGAGGCGGACTCTGCATCCAGAGGCTTTCTGATCTCTCACTAATATTAACATACTAAACAGATCATCAGAGCTGTTGTTTACAAAATGTAATCCACATATATTGACGTTATTTCACAAACTTACAACATTTTTTCTAGCAATTTTTTAAACTTTCTATTATTTTTAGGAGCAGAGCTCGACTTTTCTACTTATCGTCTCGCCATACACATAACACAGTGACCATTACAGCGATGACATCATAGATAATTTGACCCCAAGAATTCCATTCATAAGAGATGATGTACAATACCAATTACTTCAAATGAACATTAAATGTAATATTTTGATGAAATTCATACACATTAAAACTGCTTCTGCTACATAACTGCATTGTTTGAACACAGAAGTCTGCAAAAGATCAGCAGCAACCAACAGATCTAGTGTCGTCAATAAGTACACATGTTCTTCAAAAACTACTATTAGGGCTGGGTGATAAAACGATAACGATAATTATCGTGATATAACTTTTCCTCGATAGAGCGATACGACACGCTCGAGAAATGTTCGATATAATACACCATTCTCACAACTCCGCGTTCAGCGAAAGCCTTCGTGGCGTTTTCTACTGCAAGGAAAGCGACGCTACTCTGCTGTCACCAGGAGAGGGCGCACTTCCGAGTTTTTCTACATGATTAGAGAGGGAGGGGGCCACGAGGAAGATGAGTCTTTAGCAACGTCTGAAATGTGGAGTTATGTATTCCCTGAGTGGAGCGACCGGCGATCTGCTCTCCTGTGACCGAGTGTGAGTGACGAGGTCAGTGATGTAACTGTACTGTCCTACAGTGAACTCACCTCTTTCTGTACATCCTAACCAGCTTTAGCAGCGTTAAATCACAATCCTCACAACTACAGCGCTGTTACAGCGCTCGGACAGTCATATTTCAGTATCAGTGCATTCCCAAGCAACACAACTGAAAGAAAGACGTGGGTTCATGTAAATTACAGACCTGATTTAAAGGAAAGTAAACTGAGGAAGCTGTGAGGCATTGGAGAGCGGGAGCGCACTATCTTTCCAGGCTAGCTGTTTTTAGCTGCTGGCTAACTTGAAGCAGCTCTGTCACTCCACAACACGACGAGTTGATGATACTGTAGATCAAACACGACACAAAAGCACCGCTTTCAGTTTAAACGTACCTAAAAAGAGGACTCTGTTTGTCTGGTGTTGATATATTGCGGTTCGTCACTTAAACTACTACGATCGTATAGAGAAATCCAGTCATCTAGCTGGTGTCTGAATACTGTGATGTCATTTGTAGCGGGGTAGCCGAGCGCTCGGCACCAGCTAAAATAATCTGTTTTCTTTCTTAAATTATGACTATTACAAAAATTTTCCCAGCTGGTAAAAGCAGCTCAGCAGACACTTTCTCCCACTCTCCCATGACAGATCTGTGAAATGTTCCACTGTTTGAGTGTTTGTCGTGTTCAGATCATAAAGGATAGTTTAAAACAGCAATTAACCACCCAGGAGCAAAAATCAGCCTTCAAACTTGAAAGAAATAATGATTTGACATTTATCACGGTATGCATCAATATCGAACGATATGAATTTTGTTTATCGTGATAACATTTTTGGCCATATCGTCCAGCTCTAACTACTATATACAGTCAGGTCTGTAACTATTTGGACATCGACAAAGTTGTTAGTTTAGTCAATTTACAGTCTACAACAGTAAATTGGAGCTGAAATTAAACAATGAGCTCAAAGTGCAGCTTTAATTTGAGGGTATTTGCATCCAAATTGGGCGAACAGTGCAGGAAATATCATCATTTTCACACATAGAGCACCCACTTGTTTTTGAGTGATTTTCTGTAGCATTTTCAAGTAATTAGCAGCCACATCTTACCTAAATTGGATTGCTTTTACTAGCACTGTTTGGCTTTATTATCTATATAAACACAATATTTGCACTTGGTATGTGCAGATATTAAATGGCTCAGATCTGGATATCACTACTCTGAAGACTTTACTGTGACTCAGCAGGCTCAGAAGAGCAAATGCGGAGGACAGAATCATTTCAGTG